ATGAACGATTGCGAAACACAATTCCTCGTTTTGGTGAATACTCACGTCGTGTTTCTGTTTCTCCCAATGATTACTATGCGATGGTCGAAAAGTATGTTCAAGAAATGGTTGGCCTTCTTGTGAGCGATTCTAACTATGTCCGTGAAAATGTTAAGGAAATTCTTGGTAGCGAATTAAGCCCTCGTTTATACGTGATTTTATTCCAACATCTAGATTCGATTGTTTCTCATTTTTTTGATGGTGATGGGCAAGCGATCCCAAATGATCGATATACATTATTCGTTGAACAAGCGATATTAGTGTTAAAATTAACATTGGAAAGGATATTTGATCTATCTGAAAATTTGTATGCATGTGATGTCGGGAATTTAGTACTTTATTTTGCGAGGTATTTGAATAGGTTAAGTGCTAGTCAAGTTTCATTAAGGATTAAGAAACGAATGTGTATACTTGTAGAATTATTAATGGAAAAAAAGGATTATGTGAGTTTGAGGTTGGAAATTAAATTAAGGAATAGATTATTGGAAATTATTATTGAATGGACTTCTGATTACAATGTGGTAATATTTTCTTATGGTGATTGCTTTAATCATTAATTCATTTTTGCTTACATATTTTCATTTTTTTTTTTCAAAAAAAAAAGAAACCGGACAACCAGAATGGTTCAGAACAAAGCATGAGTGGTGGTGCTAACAGAAACGAACGTATGCACCGTGATTTGGACCAAGCGTGTTTAAAAACAATTGTTTCATTGTTACATCAGTTACCTTTACAACCCAGTGAAATAATCCATGACGTAGACTTGAGTCAAGTTAGATCAAGATTGTTTCAAAAATATTTTAATTTCTTTATCAAGCTATTGAATCGTTGTAGGATTTTAGAAGTAAGTTGTAAAAAAGAATCTTTAATATTTTTTATAATTCAATGAAAATTAATTTTTTTTTTTTTTTAATTTAGGCCATCGATAGTGGGACGCATTCCGCAAAGAATAATGAAGATCTGCAGATGTTGCTTTCGAAGGTATGCAAAAAAAAAAGCATTTGTGAAATAATATCGCGATTGACCTTAACCTTTTTTTTTAAAAAAAAATTTTCAAATAGTCTAAAGAATATGTAAAAGATCTAGGTCCTTTAAAAGATTACACGATATTAGCATTGTCAAAACTTCTGAGTGCTAATGTAGATTCTGGCTTGAGATATTCGATTTCAATGGCTTACCATGAAGATACTAAAACTCGAACCGCATTTGTGCAAGTATTGACGAACATTTTAAATCAAGGCGCAGAGTTTGAAGGACTGGGTGAAAATGCTGTAAAGGATCGTTACGAGCGGCTTGTTGAAGTAGGTAATAGTAGTGATTGTATTTTAAGTAATTGCATGCTGTGAATTAAAAGTATTTTATTTTATTTTTTGCTATTGCAGATGGTGACAAACTCAGATTTTGAAGTAGCACTTTCACTTTGTGAAGCATGCCCTCAGGGTGATTCAGATGAACTTGCGCGTGTTTTGACCGCAGTGTTTGATTCAAAAAATAAAATGATACCATTTTTAAGTTATTTAATCGAGAGAGAAGTGTACAATAACTGTAATTATCATTATCTAT